TCATAAAATATTTTTAATGGAAAACATTTTACCAAAAAATATTTTTCTGCCAAAACAAACAGTGTAAATGTGATATGGAGAGAGAAATGACCACAAAAACCCTAAAACATAAATCTTTCCACCATTCCTGGTTAACCAATGTATAGACAAAACTACACATTGATCAACCAGGGCATTTGGCCGAGTGGTTGTGTAACACCTTTTGTGTGTGAAGTCTCAGGTTCAACTCTTATAGAATGAATTTGCAAAGAAAAAGGGGAGGGGGGGAATGTCTAACTGACCTCTTCCTGAGTGATCAGTTGGCTTGCATTGTATTATGCAACCACGGCTTTCAGTGTTTCATGAACTATAGAAGGCAACACTCTCTCATTGTAGTTTTCACCAAGAGTGCAGTAGATTGTTGGCAACTGATCTGGCACAGGGCGTGTAAGGACACGAAAAGCTATCTTAACCTATTCAGCACAAATAACAGGAATTAAATACCAGGATAATTAAAGACAATCGACCTCCTAGCATATAGCAATGCTAAATAAATATTAGTGCAAATAATAAAGCCCAGATCGAATAACAAGAAACAAATCTACAAAAGGGATTTAGAAAGGTCAGAATGTTTCCATAAATTAACCTCCTTAACTACCATATAAAAGTGAAACCTTATTTCGAGGCACGTAATTCTTTTTATCCAGGCTTCAATCAAGAGTCCATATCTGGAAAAAGTCACTAAAATAAACTAGCAAATTTTGTTGCCATTTTATTTTGTGCATGATAAATATAAGAAAATCTGTAAAACAAACTTACCATTTGGAGATCGTGACTCCCCGAAGAGCTCTCAACAAGATTGGGACGTGCACGAACATCATAAACAATAGGCCTTTCACACCAGGGAATCATCAAATGTGTTCGTTCAGGATAAACCTAGACACATTTTATGTTAGTGCAAGCACAAAATGATTCTGTTTGTCATAATGAATTTAGATAGAACGCAAGTAAACAGAGATACTGATTCTATATCACTGAATAAGTAACCCTTTCATAGTTAATAATATAATAAAATAAAACGTAAGTGGATATAAAATAAAAATGAAATCATGCTTCTCCATTTTATGTGATACCTTGCTAAAATGCTAACTTCAAAATACACAAACCCGTCATAGGTAATTAAAATAGCCTTTGGCTCATGCCTAAAAGTGCAATCATCAAATGGGAGATGAACCTCATGTGCCAAAACAAGGTTGTACATCTTGACGTTCTTATATTACACCAACAAACAAAGGAGAATCTTATTACAAATTGAGACTTAATTAAATGTTATGAGCATAGTCGTCAAATCGAGATTTGAAACATGAATTGAAATGCCTTGTATTGAATCACAAATCGAATAATTACTAATTTCTAATTTGTAAGTTTGACATAATTATATCAAGTGCCCTTAAGATTTTAATTCACATAAAACTTAGCCCATTTTTGTTAGTAATTTCCATGTACTCTATCTAGTCATTTGTTGGTTGATATAATCTAGTAAGTAAAAAAATAAAAGTTTTGGTCAAACTGCTCAACAAGCATGCACCTGATTTGTATCCTAGTTCATGTTGGATTACGTAGCTTAATAAACATATTTTACTCATATCACTAGAGTTTTTTTATTTTGCAAATGTAATTATAACTAAGGTAGGAAAAACAATTTTATAATTTAAATAGACAATTACCTATCAAAACAAATATTTAAATAGATGACAAATCGACATATTTTGTTGAGGATGACTCTGTTGTCTGTTAGGTTCAGGATAATGACCAAGGTCTCTGTGTTAGATGTTACAATGCATGGTGATGCCCTAGTGAAGCCATTGCAAACTGATATTGAATGATTATATTCTCTTTAGCTCAAGTCTTCAAAGCCACAAAGATTGTGCTGTTCAAGATAAAAACAACTGAGGTAGGTTGAAACTACTGAGCTAAAATGAGTCTAAAAAAATTGAATGCATTTGGGTCAAGGTTTCATCAAGTTACTCAACAAATGGATACTTCAGGAAAGATGGAATTCTTAACCATAAGGTAGTTTTGGGGTGATGAGGCATTTGTTAACTGAGGGTTATTGTGCACTTGACCACCTCCTCACAAATTGGCCTAAACTACTGAGTTTTAACCTAGAGGACGTAGTTGTCCTACTGGTGGAGATGATACTGAAGCTATTGTAAATACTTTCCTACTTTTTCTCACCAACCAAACACAAAACACAAAAATAAAATAGCAAAAAACAGCAGCTAACAAGACAGCTGTGCTAGAGAAGCACTAATGCAACAGTAGATACACCAATGTAACAGCATACTAGAACACATATACAGCAAAACAGAGCAAAGGTACACCAGAGCCGCACACAGATACAGAGGCACCAGATGAGCAAGAGGCACCAGATTAGCAAAGTGCACCAGATTAGAAGATTAGCATAAAATATAACTCCAAATTTTCCATCATGTTTATATAGCTTTTTGTAGATGATTTCTATGAAATCTTGAAAATGAAACTTTCTAT